TCATGCAATTGTTTGAATGGTCCATACATAAAATTTGTACGAATTGCAGTTTTAATAATCCGCGTAGCAAAATTGAATAAAAGAACTGTTCATATGTGTTTTGCTTAATTCTGAAAAGAAAATCCAGCGTTCTTAGTTTTATCATACCAAAAATTCTGAAAAATGGGTAACTTTTTGCGTACGATTGAAATTTTGCTCTCTCTGCAGTTCTATGTTTTATTCTGTTCAATAAACCAAAAACTGTCATTTTTGTTAATTTCTGCTGCTAGCAGAGTCTTTTGGTGCCGACATCAATTCCGTAACAATATATTTTTAGTTGCCTATCTCTTGCACAGTTTTTTTGTGGCACAATTTTTTAAGTAAATGTTTTAGCATAAGCAACACAGGAAGGTTAAAATGTATTTTTGAACTAATTCTAAACCAATCCTTAAAACATAACAAGACTGCTCGTATCAGGGCGAAGCCCTGAAAATTCCGACTGCCTTTTAACGTTTATGGAGCAGTAATAACATAAAAAACATTTTAAAAAAAATTTTCAATGAAAATCATCCCCCCCACACGCCATATAAAGTACAAAACAATAGACTTCGCTCCTTGTAACCAATCAATTATGGCAAATAAGCTTCTTTTAACCAATTTGGAACGATTTCTAAGACGGATTAAATCTCCGCTTGCGCGTTAATAGCGCGAAATATATCTATCGCGCGTTAATTGTCCCAAATTGGTCAAAATTGCAATCTTTAAACCCCCGTAACTTTACGAAAAATGATCACAGTTGAAATATCGTTTCAAATTTAAGCTCAGGACAACAATACTTTTTGAATGATATAAGAAAAATTCCGTCAAAAATGGCTAGTTAAAAAGTCGAAATTTGTCTGAAGAAAAAAAACCCACCCCGAGCGCAAATATTCCGTTAGTTTCGTATCGAAAGTCGGAACAACAAGACTGCTCGTATCAGGGCGAAGCCCTGAATGTTCCGACTGCTTTTGAAGGTTCATGGAGCAGCAGTAATAACATAAAAACATTATATGAAAAAAAATGAAATGAAAATTTTTTTTTCTAAATTTTGAAATTTTTTATGAAAATCATCCCCCCACACGCCATATAAAGTACAAAAAGATAGTTTTCGTTCCTTGTAACACATCAATTATGGAAAATAAGCTTCGTTCAACCAATTTGGAACGATTTATAAGACGGATTAAATCTCCACTTACGCGTTAATAGCGCGAATTATATCGCGCGTTAATTGTCCCAAATTGGGCAAAATGGCAATCTTTAAACCCCCGTAACTTTACGAAAAATGATCACAGATGAAATATCTCTTCAAATTTAAGCTCCGGACAACGATACCTTTTGAATGATATTAAAAAAATTCCGTCAAAAATGGCTAGTTAAAAAGTCGAAGCTTGTCTGAAGAAAAAAAACCCACCCCGAGCACAAATATTCCGTTACTTTCGTATCAAAAGTCGGAACAACAACTATTGTTTGACTGACTTTCAAAATCTGAATTTTAGATTTTATCCTATTTTGATATCCATTTTTGATTTTTAGTCTAAATTCCAGCGAGTAAAGCCAGCGAGCACGCTTATTTTTGTTTAATTTAGGCCATATACAATAGCTTAATTTTGCTTAAAATTGATTTACTCATGTAAAATTAGTTTTTGGAGACTTAAATGCCATTTTGGGAATCAAAAACGTCTAAAAATTAATAAGTTCTGCAAAAAAACTCTCTTTTAAACTCTTTTAAATTTTTTCGTTTTCGACTTTATGATTCAATCGACTCGATTTTATGTTTCGACTTTGTGTTGTGTGTTACAACTTTGTGTTCGACTTTACGTTTTGTTTATCTCGACCTTAGGTTTTGAGGCAGATTGCGACTTTAGGGTCTGATCTGCCGGGGATTTTCACTGATACGTGTTCAATCCGCCTTGGTCAAAACATAAATCGCAAACGTCAATCCGGCGGCTTTAAAAGATTTTTTTTTACCCAATACGCAATTTCTTATCCTGATCGATGACGAACTAATTTGGGAATTTTGTCAGGCATGATTTGCTTCAGTACTGAGCCATTTTTAGAAAAATGAAACTTATGAAAAATACAAAAAATTCCAATCACGCAATTTTTGGTTACTTGAGATATTTTTAGTTAATGGCATTACGCAAAGTCTCATGACTATCTTTCACGCGAATTTTTTCTTTTAGATCTTGAGTGTTTTCTTTTTCATGTTTAATATCCTCGTGAAATGTTAATTTTCCTTGCGAAATTTGCTTTCGAGCTCAGCTTCAACTTTTGAGAATTAACTACTGATTACCATTTATGTGCAGAGAATTCAGTAAAGAATTCAGTCATTCCATATTGCATTTTGAATGGAAAATCGTCAAAATTGCTGTTGATAGCAATAATAAACGTTACCGTCTTGAGTTACCGTCGTTAAGTTATTTAATGTTTCGAAAGGCGGGCAAACTAACAGCAATAATTTGAGAAAATTTCACTCTTGATTGAATTCTAGGAGACTGATTTATCTTCTGTTTTCTTCAACAACAGTAACATGGCATAATAAATAATATGGCCCCTCTCACGTTTTTGTGGCTCAATAGTCTTTGTTATTGGCACGACGGCTGACAGGGATCTACGTTAGCTGCTTAGAAAAATTGAATCATAAACAAGGATAGCCGGGTACTGTGAAATTGCAGTAGCACAGAATGTTCCGACCATAGTCTTCAGAGTACAACAAAAAGATTTTTCAAATCAGTTTCGTTTTTTTTTCGTGTGATAAAAGGAGTTGAACGGAAAACTCGAGATTAGACATATTCGATAGACATAGCAAAATAAGCAAAGTGAAAAACAAAATTTTAAGAAAATTGATTAAAAAAACTACAAAAAAAAACTAAATTATATTTCAAAACATTTTTCTTTTTTTCTCAGTTTTTGAATTTTTAAAGTTTTTGAGTCCAAAAAGGCACTAAAACACTCAACAAACAAACGTTACTCGAATAAAACAAAGAACCTGCTCACTCGCTTTTTTCGCTCGAATTAGGATGAAAAACCAAAATTTTCAAACCGGTTTTTCTCGACACTGATAATTTTTTAAAATTTTTATGATGTTCGAATTACGAATTGAGTTTAAGCCAGAGGTAGTTTTCTCGTAGAGTAATTTCAAATAAGGTACACCGTGCAGTGTTAGGGATGGAATATGATTGGTTAGTTAGTAATATTTTATAGAGATAGTTTTATAATATAATTGGTTTATAAATACTAGTCCAGAACTGGTTCCAGAATGTAAGGGTTTTAATATGATATATCAATCAAATTTTAGTACGTTATATCAATCCGATCATTGTTTGTGGATTGCGTGGAAAACAAAAATGTGTAGTGGATAAACTTTGAGAAACGAACTGCATTTTCAAGATAGACAATAAAGGGTCGGAAAGGGTTACATGGATAGCTTAGTTTGACAAATTAAGAGTCGGGCGGCTCCAAAGGGATTCCATTTAGTAGCACCAAAAGGCACGCATCTTTTGAGCGGTGATGGGTTCCACTGCATGAAAAGCTACCTACCTCTTTATCATCAAAACATCAACGAGGAAATCCATTAAATTACACACTTGATAGTTTGTGTTGAAAAGCCGTGTAAAAACGTGTTTGCCTATGCAAACCGAATGAGTTTAGAAACAACTGATCATTGACCTGCCCTTTTACCACTTTCAAACGAAACACGCCGAGCTGCCTAATTATACAAGAGTCAGACCAGCTCATTGCAAAAACATGTAAAATTATTTTCTGTTTCAATCATTGATCAATAAAATTCAATAATCAACAAAGCGAACGAGAACCATAGCTTTGTTGGTATTCTATTAAAATGTGTTTTTAATATTTGTTTGGAGCAGTATTCAAGTTAGCCATGTTCACGATTCGTCAACGGATCAACTTAGAATGGCATAACTTCAAATGGTAAGAGATCTCGCTAAGTGAAAGACGTTGCATGTTTCTTCATCTGACGCTCAGAACACAAAACCACATAGAAAAACCAACTGCGAAAAATCACTCGGCACACTTTGAAAGTGCGTCTTGATCAGTGCAGAAGGCCATTTTGAGCAGTATTTTTGGAACTTGAGAGGTAAGCCACATTTAAACTGTTGAGTTGCAATAACTTTTTTGTGAGAACAAACTTAGCTTGGTCTGAGATATAGCATTGGTGTTGGTGCTGTTCATTCATTCTTTTGTAGACTGTACTTTGGTCCGAGGTGTAGAACATATATGGTTCGTTTGGTTTGCAAGAAATTGAGGCTGATGTTTCAGATAGCCAACCAGAACCCAATTCTACTTGGTTTGCCCATCTCAAACAGCTAACTTACTTGAGCCGAACGGCCTCGAGACAATTCATCACCTCTGTAGCTTATCCATTCACACAACTTCACTCATTGCATGAGAGAGCGAGTCAAATTCCCCTTTGATAAAGTCAACATTCTCAAGCAGATTTTGGCAGGAGAGAGCGGATACAATAATCTTGTGAAGTGAACCAACATAACTTATACTATACATCATCACAAACCCTCGTTACACGTACCACGCTATTTCAGCTCACAAATTGTCTCAAGTAGTTTAGCTTTCTTTCTCTGTGCTACTAATTATTCAAGAAATCAGCGCTCATTTACATTTTTTGGTACATCAGAGCTTATTTACATTTTTTGGACGGGACCGGAAAGAAAGCGCATGGTAACATTGCTTAACGAAGCCAAACCCCCAAGGGCCAGTTAGACAAAGCAGGCACCCAAATTGGGGCTGTCCCGGACACAAAAGACATCCAGAGCCAGTTAGTCAATCGGCACTGAATTGCCTGTCTAAGTGAGGAGGCAGTTTTGAAGCGCCATCATCAAGACAGCTAATCTCTCCCAACACCCTGCTTTCGCTATTTACCAACCTGCCATTAAGATCAGCAGTTTTGTGATTACATTCAAAATACTACTATTTACTGCTCACAATTTTCTCTTTCCGAACATAGTATTTTCTCTTTCCGAAAGAAATTATTGTTACCTTCTTGATTCTACGGCAAGGACAGGATTATACTTTTCGATTAAACAAATCAGATTCAGTGACCGCTCGTGAAATTGCGGTTTGCTTAGCTCTTTCAGAATGTTTTCACAACAATCATTTTTAAAAGGTGAGATTTTTAAACTTTTCTAACTAGTAACGAATTGAATCAGTAATTACTTTCCACCCTTAAACCGAGTGGGAAGAAACTATGGCTGAGGGTTTAATTTTTTCGCCCGATTTGAGGTACCTTCACAAAAGTTTATGGCATCATATGATAAACCGTTTATCAGACTTACTCGAACAAAGGTAAGAAAAAAAAGGTTTCTCATTTTTCCTGATTATTCTCAAATAGTCTTCTTCCCACTAAAATAAAGAAGCAGGAGGGACAAAAATTTTTGTAATCTATTAAAACTATTTTTTGAATAGCAAAAAAATCCAAGCGATTTAACCCCATATTGAGCTTAACGCTTGAAAATTTACTTGAAATTTTAAATTCATGTGCAACCAACTCAAGCTATCGGCACAAAATGATTCAGTTCAAAAAAGTCATCGGTTTAAAAACATGCTTGAAAACAACTCATTTCTCCGCAAAAATTTGAAGACTGCTTGAAATATGTCAGCATTCGTCTTATAAAAACTTTAATTTTTCTTCAAACTAATCAAGTGATCAAACCGATCAAAAGTTTATGAGCTTGCTTCAAAAAAAGGACTTTTCGCGAATCAAGTATGAGTCTTACTAAGACTCATACTGGATTTGCGAAAAGTCCTTTTTTTGAAGCAAGCTCAGCACTTGGTAGCTATTGAGATAATAAAGTAATTAAAGTAAAATTGTTTTTGAAAGGTTCCCGTAAAGATTAGGACTGCCTTAGTTTTTACGGCAACCTTTCAAAAACAATTTGACTTTAATTAATTCATTATTTTAAAAGCTACAAAGTTTTTTCGAGCAACCAATTACAATATTGAGCCTTTGAAAAAGTTGTGTTGATAGTTAAGAAAGCTCATAAAATGCTTGAAAAAGAATTTGGTTTCTTGCAAATCTGAAATTCAAACAGTTTTGTTTCTTATCATTTTCAAATATAAGTCTATCGCTTGAACAGTTTGCTTGAAAAACTATTTTTTTCCAAACTAAAACGTATAGTTTTTGCTAAAAATGGTTCAATAAACAGAAGCATTTTTGTTTCATGAGACTACTTACTTGAAAAGTTTTTTTTCTGTGTGAAAAAGCACTATAAAATAGAGTTTGCGCTATGTAATTTTTCAGTGGCTCGCAAGAGTTTTTTTTGCAAAACAATTGAAACTGACACAGCAAAAAAAAAATTTTTGTGAGTTTTCATGGCTTGAATTAAAAAAAGAATAGTAGAAGTACGGAAAACCCCTACTGTTTTAAATATGCGTCAAAAGACCGAAGATTGCTGTATTGGCAGCTATCAAATCACATAATTTAGTACAAAATGGATTAGTTGAAAACCAACACAAATATTTTAATCAAACAAGACTGCTCGAGCAAGTCCCGAATGTTCCGAAAGTATCGAGTATTAAATTAAATCATTCCCCCCACGCGCCATATAAAGTACAAAATGATAAATTTTGCTCCTATTAACATAAAAACTATGACAAATAGCCTGTTTCAACCAATTTGAAACGATTTCTATGAGGGATTAAACCTCAGCTTACGCATTATAAGCGCGAAGTAAATCGCGAGTTAATAGTCCCAAACTAACCATATTGGCAATCTTTAAACTCTCAAAACTTCATTTAAAACGATCAAAGGTAAAATTACTTTCCAATTTTGAGCTCAGGACAAAAATACCTTTCGGCTGACATAAAAAACTCCGTCAAAAGTTCTTAGTTAAAAAGTCGAAGTTAGTCTGAAGAAAAAAATTCCACCCCGAGCACAAATGTTTTGTTACTTCTGTTACGAAAGTCGTAACAATAATATTTCTTTCCAAAATATTGCGCTCTTTTCCCTTTCCCCCTACCTGCAAAACTTAAGAAATAATTTTTGTTCACATTGTCCGATTGTCATGAAAATTGACATGCAAACTATTTAGGCCATGATAATTATTTTTGCTTCTCTTAATTAATCTTGTAGAACCACTCATTAGACCAGAAAATGCATGCTAGTGTGAGGTAGGGGAAAGAAGAGGAGCCAAAAATTTATTAGAAAATCAAATTTCAGCTTGAGGAAAAATTAAAACCTCGCCAAGCACAAAACTGCAGTTACGTTTTTCGAAAATTCGAACAATAATTTTGAGTGAGAGTAAAAAAAGAACGAGGGAAAGAAAAGAACTCAAAAAATGAATTTTTTCATCTGTTTTTCCGACTTTCAAAGATTGTGGAAGCAAAACTTGCTCTCCGTTAGTTTAATGACAAAACATCAACTCTTTGTTTTTCCAACTTTTGGTTTTTTAACCACTCACTGTTCCGACTTTCGATACGAAAGTAACGGAATATTTGTGCTCGGGGTGGGTTTTTTTTCTTCAGACAAATTTCGACTTTTTAACTAGCCATTTTTGACGGAATTTTTTAAATATCATTCGAAAGGTATTGTTGTCCTGAGCTCAAATTTGAAAAGATATTTCACCTGTGATCATTTTTCTTAAAGTTATAGGGGTTTAAAGATTGCCATTTTGGCCAATTTGGGACAATTAACGCGCGATATATTTCGCGCTATTAATGCGTAAGCAGAGAGTTAATCCGTCTTAGAAATTGTTCCAAATTGGTTTAAAGAAGCTTATTCGCAATAATTGGTTTGTTACAAGGAGCAAAAACTATCGTTTTGTACTTTGTATGGCGTGTGGGGGGATGATTATCATAAAAAATTTCAAATTTTAGAAAAAAAAAATTTTCATTTTATTTTTTCTTACATTTAATTTTTTAATGTTATTACTGCTCCATAAACCTTAAAAGGCAGTCGGAACATTCAGCGCTTCGCCCTTATACGAGCAGTTTTGTTTAATTGTTTTATAACCAACGTCTTGGGGATGTAATGTTGTCATCATAACAGTTTGAAATTTTCCAAGATCTTTTTTTTTTTTAAATTTTCATTGTTTTCAGTTATTTCCCACTTTTGAAAATTATCACTGTTTGCTTTCATGTCAGTTTGTGAAATTTTTGAAAGACCAAACCACAAAATCTCCTTCTTTGAACTCTTCAAAGCGCACATAATTTAGTCCTAAATACGGCCAATTTAGCAATTTTCAAACCCCCAAAACTTTACAAAAAAATAATCGGAGCTACAAAGTTTTTTATATTTGAACTCAATGTTTAAAATTCAATTGGTTAGAAAAAGTTTTTGTTAAAAACTATTATTTGATCGGCGAAAACTGACTTAAAAAAACCCATCGTGCATAAATGTTCCGTTTTCTTCGAAAATCGGAACAAAAACATATTTTTCAAGTTGGTTTTTTGTATGAATAAATAATATATTATAATTGGCTCGTATTTAGATTGTTTCATTTTAAGTAACAAAAACCACCGAAAAAAGGCATGGTGTTGTTTAAATTGTGGTAATCAGCTTATCATTTCATTTTTTTGTTTGAATGGTGCATAATTCTCATGCACGATGAAACGAATGCTCGAAATTTTTAACCAACCATTTCCCTTCAAATCATACAAAACTGACTGAAATTTTCGCTGTTTTTTCGAATTTTTGAATAGTTAGCTTTGAGCTCTGATTGTTTCTTTTAAAATTTTCGTTTCTGAATTGTGAGTTTTTGTTGATTGATGCGCTGTGAATAATGCTTGGTTCTTTGCGTTTCATCTTAGAGTTTAACAAAAGTATGAATCATTAAACATAATTTTTCGAACAAGAATGAGTTCTTATTGCCAAGAGCAGAAGAAGGATGGCAACTAGCAGTTAGCTTAGAGCATTTTTCGGGAAGTTTTTTTTTATTTACACTGCCCAACCCACTCAAGATTTTTTCACCTGTAACAAGTTGTAGTAAAATCTCCACAATTTTTTTGTATACTACGGTTTATGGAATTTAACTGTTTTTAGAATTATGGAAAAAATATCCAATAGTAGCAGAGGTGGTTGGTTAATGAGGATTCGGCTTTTATTAACAAGAACTCCTCAGTCTTAGATTGTTGCTTTAATTCTTTTTGAGTTGATCAAGTTTCATCAAAAGAAAAGATTATACCTTTTGCAAAATTATAATCATCTAAAATTGATTATAATCTGTTTTTGTTTCTTCATTGTGGTTATAGTTGACTATACATTTTTTAAACATGCAGATTTGGCAGTTTTAAATAACAAGAGTTTTGATGAAAGTATCATGGAAGTTGTAATTCAAACGATTATTGTCCATTTGACTGAATGATGGCAGTTTCATAACTTTTTTTGGTTTCTGAATGTAGACAAAATAAGCGTTTGCTTAGTCAAAGTCAAGTTAATTAAAAGTTGTCCTTTGGCATTTATTTTTTGCCATTAATTATTATAATTACTCTTATAACTTTTTTCTGCCATTTTCGAGACATTTTTTATGCGCTAGCTAAATAATACAGTGGCCGCTAAAAGGTGATTATGCATCGAAATTAGAAAATTTGGTCGACCTCCTGCGTTGACATGTTTTATAGTATTGTCTTGGTGGATAAGCTGCCATCCTTGTGAAAGACTGCTAATTTTAGCCTGCCAAAATTCAAGAAATATGCATTTACGGAATGGAAAAAGCAAGTTTACATAAGCACTGTTTTCACAAGAATGGTACTACTCCGTAAATGCATAATTCTTATAAAATTGACGTATATAGTTGATGTTTAATCAGAAATTAGCTAAATCTAGGCTGTTTCAAGCTAGAAAAAAGTCTCCTGGTGGGGCTCGAAGCCTCGTTCTGCCATTGGATAGACGGCTGTGCTTACCGCTAGGCCACCCGACGTTATAGTTTCGAATAATTTTTGCAATCTAATGCAAAGCAACACTTGTTATAACAAGTGTTAATTTGCATTGTATTGCTACGGCTATTGTGTATACTCGAAGCTGTTTTTATCTCATTGCGGTTGAGCAGTGAACAGATTTCTAGTTATTTCTTTCCAGAAATTGGTTACCCGGGTTGACCCATACACCGAAAATGCTTATCATACAATTCCATACATCAAGTGTGTGGAAAAATGTTTGTCAAAAAAATTTCATACAATTTCGAAAAATGGTTCAAAAAAGATCTTAACTAATCTTTTTCAACCAAGTTTGACTCTGATAAAACAGTCTGGTTATAAACAAACCGAGGTTTTGGTTTTTTGAAAAAAATGCTTTCATACAATTTCCATATAATTTTGAATTTGCCCCAAAAAGTTTTTCTTTTTCAACCGCAAATCAATTTCTGTACGCAAACAAACATTTTCCAGATAAAGTTTTGCTTACAAAACTTAATTTTTTGTGGGCATAACGTAGTCCTGGATACACTTATATTGTTTTGTTTCCTTTTTTTAAAAACGCTTAAAACTTCTATTTCTTTTGTATGGCGTGTTTATAAATGCCTTGATCAATGTCTGATAATTTGGAAATTCAAATTTTTTAACTTAATCATCGCTGAATAATTACAACTCAAAATTTTTCAGAACTTAAATTTAGAAACAAAAAAAGTCAACTTTTTGGCTCATGGAAAAACACATATACAATTTTCATAAATGGAAAAATATTTATCATAGAGGTTCCATACATTTTTCTGTACGAATGAAATTGTACGACATTGTATGACAAGAAATTTTTCATATATGGAAATTGTATGATTAAAAGTTTTGATCAACCCGGGTAGTTCTAAGCTACGATAAGAAATAGATCAATTCTGAACAGAAAATACGAGAAAATTTAGCTGGATAATCAGTATAACATTTCAGAAAAATATCTTCCGTTGGGTACAGGGTATGCGTTGTGTGAACGAACGCAAATTCAAGACATACTCACAAGAAACAGCGGGAAGCGATTATTGGACTTTCTTTTTAACAATTAATAAAAATGCACATTTTAAGTTTCATATTGCACCATACGTTAATTCAGTTGGAATTGTCAACCTTTGTTAAAATTTCATAGTGTTCCAAAATTTCAGATGCCATGTTAGTATCCAACAATATTTGAATATCAGTTTACAAAAACTAACTCGAAAACTTGAAAACAGTTGCAATGAAAAGGTCACATTACGAGGGCAAATTGTGCATTCTCTGCATTGTAAGCGGAATCCGCAACAGGCCAAAATCGGATTTGTCGCGGAATCCGCAACATTGCTACTTTTCTTTGATCTTCTGTGCTGTTTTGGATTCCACAAACAAATACCTAAATCATTGTACCGCTCAAAATTGCTCAAAAATTGACTGTCTGTGTCGGATTAATATCTCAATCAGTATTTTTGTTTGTTTCAGTTATTTGGCCTCTCTTTTTATGGACTTTCAGTGCTTCCGCTCAAAATATCGATTTCTATGTAACAACTCCGGGCAGCTCAGAAAAAGAAACTGACGCTGACGTAGTGAGCAACGATGCTTTCAAAATGATATGCAAGTACAAAGCTACGAATAAGCAGTCAAGATTATGCGAAGCACTGTGGATTTATGGATCAGCAGGTACAATCTTGTCAGCAGAACTCAATTGTTGTTCCCTAAAATAATCATCTGCGATGGCCATACTTTGTTTTCAGCTTTTGTTTTTTTGCTCTGACTGTGAAAATGGGGTTGAATTTTCTTCTAGTGTGTTGAGTTTTTTTTACCTTTTGTTCCGACTTTCGTAACGAAAGTAACGGATATTTCTGCTCGGGGTTGGTTAATTTTTTCGTCAGACAAATTTCGGCTTTTCAACCAGCCATTTTTGACGTTTTTAATATCATTCCAAAGGTATTGTTGCCCAGAGCTTAAATTTGAAAAAATATTTTACCTGTGATCATTTTTCGTAAAGTTATGGGGGTTTAAAAATATAGTTCGCGCTATTAACACGTAAGCGGAGATTAAATCCGTCTTACAAATCGTTCCAAATGGATTGAAGGAAGCTTATTTGCCATAATTGATTTGTTACTAGGAGCAAAATCTATGGTTTTTGCACTTTACATGGCGTGTGGGGGGATGAATTTCACAAAAAATGTCAAATTAAAAAAAATCCTTTTTATTTATTACATTTAATTTTTTCATGTTATTACTGCTCCATGGACCTTAAGAGGCAGTCGAGTTGATCATTCAGGGCTTCGTCCTGATACGAGCAGTCGTGTTTCTTTTTGTTTTCACGCAAAATCCGGTACAACAATTAATCACGGACTGGGTCGAGTGATATATCCTATTAAAGCCCTTTCAGTCGTGATTCGAACCACATTAAAAAAATTTCCAAACTTTTTTTAGTGTCGAGAAAAGCCGGTTTGAAATTTTTGATTTTCGGACTAATTTATAGCTGAAAAACTCATGTAAGATTAATTTAAGCGTGAAAACTTAGTTTTACCTAAGCAAAGTTAGGATTTTAGCGCCATTTTGGGAATCAAAGTTTTCAAAAATTCAAAACAATCTTGCAAAGTTACAAATTTTTGAAGTTTAAAAAAAAAAAATTTTAATTATTTTTTAGTTTTTTTGGCTTTTCTACAAAAACTCTTTTCCAATTGGTTTATTCAACAATGACTGCCGAATATAATTTCTATCGTTCATATCTTCTTTGTAAACCACACAGAAAAAATCGTCATTGAATTGATTTGAAAAAAATGTATTTTTGTTAAGACTGTGGTCGGAACATTCTGTGCTATCTGCAAAGTAACCGGTAATTCATGTTTCATTTTGTTTTTAGTTCAAATAAAATAAGCCAAAATTGAGAAATAAAATTAGAAAGCTTCAATTCAGCCATGGTGACAGGATTAAATTCTATTTTTGCGACACAGGTTTTTTTATCCAAAATCTGTTTACCGGAACTCCGGCTGAATCAAACTTCTGAAGCTTAAACAACTGAATCCAAAAGTAAGCAAAATGGAACAATGATTGAACTGAAAGACTTAAGAATGACGAAATATACATAACCCCGCTCACAACCTTGTTTTACAAACTTTTTCGCTAAGAGAGATATTTGACTTGCAGCAAATGATGTTTCAGAAAAACGGCTGGCCGAGTTTTACTCCAGGGATGGTACGGGAAGAATAGGAGAGTCATATGAAGCAATGGCCAAGACCAGTATGAATGTTACTTACGAGATCAGCTCAGAGGGGACGGAGCTGAGGATAGAGCTCGACGTGTTCAGGGCCACCAAAAGCCTCTTCGATTTTCCATCCTATTACTGCAGATGCGTCAATGTCAACACAGCCCAAGGGCACGTCTCACTTAAAATCCACGGTAAGAGTTGAATTCAACTTACGCAAGTTACGTTCGAATGTATTTATTGGAGTACACGAACCCGAGAACCCAATTTGAAAGGCAGGGCGGTGGTGTCTAGTTCTCCTACAAACTCACTCGATTACAATTGAACCATTTAACGTCATTCATTTTTGACAATAAAACGTTAAAAAAGGAATGGCCGAAAGCGCGTACGTCTTTTGTCAAACTCATAAATTTCAAAAGTGAAGAAATGTTTAGCAAAATACGGTTTCTTTTAGCATTTTATGGGAGAGCTCCAAAATTTAGTTCGGTTACACTGGTTGCATGCCAAATTCATAAAAATTTTAAGCACCGTTTTTGTTCTGCTGCTTCAGAACCGACAGCTCCAATCAAAATGAAGGTGTATCAAGAGCCTTCACCTCCTTATTTGGAGGGTCAAATTGTAAAGCTAAGCTGCTCATCAGAAGCATGGCCGTCCACCACAAAGTATGAGCTAGAAGCCAATCAGATCCCCATATATGAAAAAACAGAGAACGAATCACTAACTGGGATTGAACATCAAATTAAGATTGACAATGCTGTCCATGGAAACATAGAATGTGTGGCCACAAACAAAATAGGAAGCAGTAGGAAACAATTCGAAGTAACAATTCATGGTTAGTTATTCACGTTTATTTTGTCATTTTCATTTATGTAACGAAAAATTGCTGCACTTTTTAGAGTAGAAAGTGCTGGTCCTAATTAGTAATTACATTTTTAGGTTTGATAGTCTGAAAAAGTTCAATCTCATTTGCTATTTTTTGTCTGAACGATGAAATAACTTCATACCCGAAATTCCGCAAAATGAAGATGTAATGTTACTTACGAGATCAGCCAATCAGCCAGTGAGCCAGGTATCCGTGTATCCGGGTATCCGTGAGCCACACAATAGAAGAGAACCGATCAGTAAACCCATCGATTAATTTCTGACGCAATGGCGTCTATGGGCAAACTGGGTTGCATGACTTTTTTTTTAGCATATATGATTTTTTTTACAGCGAAACCTGCCCTATCCATGTCACGAAGTCCTCCAAACGACATCAGAGCGGACACTCGTGTGACAATAGAGTGTCACTCACTTGTCCAATCAGCTGCAATTAAGTCACTTTCACTGCTGCAAAATGAGAGTGTTGTAACAGAAGTGAGAAAAGAGCCGTTTGATGTAACTTTTGAGGTTAACTACTCAAGAGCTATGGCTAGTTCGCTCTTCAAATGCCTCCTCGTTCCATTCCATTACCCCCTCATGCAGCAAAGTCGGACAGTTGATTTCATATGTGAGTTGTAGCCGACTGAGAAAAAGTCCTCCAGAGGTTTTTGTTTTCATTTTTCCTCCGACTGACTTCCATTGTCAATCCTTAATTCTGATTTCATTTGATTGGTTGTCGCTAGTGTCCGTATCCACTATTAAAATTTCCATGTGCTTAAATGTTTTTCTTGGAAAAACAAACTTGGCTGAGCTCATCAATTGTGCGCATGGCATATCATGACTTGGCTGACGGTAGCTGTGTAGAATGCAATATGTTCAAAGTTGATTGCTGGCTGATTTCAGATGGGCCAATTGTGTCTGTGACAAGTGACACTGTTCGAGTTAAACAAGTAGAGGAGAGGGACTCCTTCTATCTAGTCTGTTTGGTGCAAGGAAGCTCAAAACTAATCACCTCTTTCGCCCAGTCATGCTCCTGGACAGGACACGGAATCAGTGCAAACTTGGTCGAGTATTTTGAAATTGAGAGCGAAAAACTGCAGCTTAAAGTCAGACTATATGCTTCAATGTTGAGAGTGGGCTTCCACGAATTCAGATGTCAGTGCAATATTGACCTAGTCCAATATCTGACTAACAATGTTGTCAGAGTACAGATATTCAGTAATATTTTCAGTTTCCATCTTTTTATCAATTCAAAACAAAAAATATGTTTATGAGCAATCGTTTTTTAGATACGCAATCAATAAAAATCACGACATCTTTGTTAAATGGGTGTTATACAGAGGAGGATTTCACAATTGGCTGTGAAACAGAAGGTGCGCCTGCTGTATCGGAGGTTTCGTTGACAAAAAACGAAACAGAGTTGAGATCATCTCTTGGGCAGCCACTTGATGTCGAAATTTTTACACCGGAAAGAATTTCGGCTCTTGATGGACAAACTGTGAATTTCCAGTGTGAATTATCGTACATCTCTGTTGCGACTCCTCGAAAACTGATTGATCAAATAGTTTTGCCCAACTGTGGTAGTGCCTTTCATATGCTTCATTGATTTTAATTTGAATCTTCGCATGAGCCATGACTGATGTTGAGTGACTTGTTGTTAGAAATCAGCATGGAAGGTCTCCAGCCGTCCTACAACTTCAACATGGAGGCTCCTCCGAGCTCATGTTTTCTTAGTGTGCTGATCAAGGCTACAGGTGTCTTATCATTTTACCAAGTCACTTGGACTGTAGATGAAGTAATGTTTACGAGGCCAGTCTCGAAACTGTCCGAAAGCCAACTGGCTTCCAACTTCACCTTGGAACACATCGATCTCTCCCTTCACGCTACTAAAGTCATTGTGCAGATCCAGGCTGATGGCTTCCCAGTGCAGAAAAGAGAAAGTCTGCTCCTATTTTTCTGTTAGTCTGACAACCTCATTGTTTGAACAATTCGAAGAAATGTGGAATCATTCAACAAAAATTGTCTTGAATTGTGATCATTCATTGTCTGAAAGGTGGTTCTGTTGTGTTCATTAGTTGAATTTGAACTGACCCCATTTTTTCCATGTGATTGTCGTGACATTTAATCAATGCTTTGTTGACATTGTCCAGTTGCTTTCACTGTTTTCTGGTTAAATTGTCTGGTATCTGTAGTAGAAAATGACGGACATTCTGTTTGTCAATGTTTGTAGTGTTAACGGTGATGCAAGACCATATTCAATTGATTTATCAGATGACAATTTGTTCACGCTGATATTCACAACTATCTGATGTCATTCAACTTCTGATTTTTCTAATTCAATAATCTCTGGGCTTTCAGATCATGTGAGTTAGGACCGAAGTGTAACTCATAGAGTAATTTCGGATAGGGTACACCGTCTGCTCGTCACGCTATCTTATTTTCGGCCGGATAGATTCGTGCAACTTCTTAGTCTAATACCGATCCTAATCTTACTCTTATACTATCTAGTCTCAGGTTGTTTAACTAGTCTCTGCTAGGCTCAATAGATCTAGGGTATACTGGTTTATTGCGGCTGCTGAAGTGCTCGGGAGAGTCCAACTAATTTCTAAGTTAAATTCAAATCTCTCTGGTGCTGAAATTACAAGTAACTTCAGCACTTACAAATAAGTGGGTTGTTAGTTAGATGGATCATGATTGGTTAATATTAAATACTTTACATTGGTAAAACATTTAATTTATCCAATCATAAAATGTAGTTTAGATCAGGTTCCACCCATCCGGGTTTTACAGAGTTTTTTAGAATAGTTCTTCTGCAATTCGAAGGATGGATGATGGACGTTTGTTTTTGGCGAACATCATAATTTTCTTCCGTTTCCTCTTTTGTTAGGGAAGTTCCAGGAAGCTGGAGTTAGAGACATAAGACGTTGTGTCTTCTAGTGACAACGACTACGTCTTTGCAACAAACTCAAATCTGATTTCAGAATGGTTTGCTATGTCAGATTTTTCTGTTCTGCGTGGAGAATTTCTTTTGTGTATGATCTAGTTTGGGAATGGCGTGGAGATTGTGCGTGGAGGGGATGCCTGGTTACTCGGATCTGTACGTATACTTGAACATCGAGGTGGTCATTGGTCTAGTTCAATGAAGTCCTTTTCTGCGAGGTCAAGTCGTACTCTAAATCCTTTGAGTTGTGATTGTGAGCGGCATATCGATTGTAGTTGGTCATTCTCTCTCGAGTGTAGTGGGGTCGTCTTGTCTTTTGATGTTCGTCCTTGGTGTTGTATTCTGATCTATGTATTGCATCATGTGATTTTACATTTTATAAAACTTTTATTAGTTTAATATTTTTTAATAATGATTTTAGTTAGTTGTTTTCACAAAAGCTTTTTGTTTTAGTTCGGTTATTTTGAAGAGTTACTCACACTTGAGTAGCTCTTATTAAAAATAGTGGTGTGGTCACAAAGCGTGGATGTAGCGCGGTGGGTTAGGCCGGCTATGGAGCATGCTCAGGACGTCCTTCCTGGTGGGTTAGGCCAGGAGTGGGAGTATGATTTCATGCGGTTTTTGTGAGGGGTCCTGTTATGTGACAACGTTTTATGTTGGGTTTGTTGTGGTTTTTCTTATGTTTTGTTGGTTATGTCCTTTTTCCAAAAATCAAATTGTTTGTGGTATGGGTTTGTCTTTCGACTTTTTTGTGTTTTATTATTTCTTTCTTAGACTTTATAATAGTCTTCAAAAGAATAAATTATCCAGTTTTAAACTGGGTTAATCCGGTTTGGGTACCGTTGGTTTCCTTTTCTTAGTCATGCTGTTATTCTATGATTTGTGGTATTTAGTAAGCTGCGTTGGTTAGTTTTGTTTAGTATATAATTCCTTTCCAACCGGGTTAAAGGAAAGTTTGAAACATGTTATTATATGTTAGAGTTGTTGAGTGTGAAAACTTGAAACTGAAATTCATTATTTTAAACAATTCTTCGTGGGCGAGCTGTGCGAGTGTGGATAGAATTTCTGTGCGAATGAATGAAAATATCAAAAGGTTAGTACTGCATTTGCATTTATTTAATGTACTACATAGAATTTAGAAATTTACTGCTAGTCATGGGGGAATATTAAGATACAAATTTTCATCATAATTAGATTTACTGCTTGTGGGGGAAAATTTTAGAAATGAATTTACTGCATTGGTATTAAATTTATAAATTTATAAGTGTAAGAGATTAATAGAATTTTTGAAATCTGTTTGATGAAATTTGCGATTTTTATTTGTCTTTTGTGGTTTTTGTAGGTGATCGTCGGATGAAGGCTAAAAATCTAAAGAAAACATGAATAAAGTATGGTGAGTTTTTTAATATTTTAATTAGTTAGTAATATTCATTTAATTCATACTTACCTGTTAGTCGTCGGGGAAAAAACCGTGGGGGAAGATGTCGTGAATTAGTTCTGAAGTTGTTAGTAGTTTAGCTAAGATGCGGATGATATTTTTAGTTTGAAGCAGTGGCCAAAGCAATTGAAGTGCCTTGATAGTGGTTAGTTCTTCAGTGCCAACTGCAAACTCATAAGGTGTGTTTTGGATTAAGTTATATAATTTGTGATTGAATTTAGTGTTGTGGATGAATTCTAAAATTGGGATTTCTATGGGTTGTACAAACTCGTGCGGGATAAGGAAGGGTCGGGATTCTTCGGCGTTGAAGGTCTTGGTAATGGGACAGAAGATGTACATTTGGGTTATGGGGTCATAATTACGAAGAATACCATGGAGGTTAGTGTCTTTAATACAATATGTGAAATTTAGGAAAAATGGTGAAGTGTATTTGGAATTAATGAATTGAAAACGATGGTGTGGTTGTCTAGAGGGTGTGTGTAGGTCAAAGTGATTTTGGATGAAGCGATAATAACTATATGTGTGGGTTTGTTTAGTGCGCAACATAATATCGTGTGAGCAGTGTAAATCTCTTTCGTGTGGTGCAAGGAAATGAAAGGTTAGTGAAAATATTTGGAAGCGTTCTTTAAAACTTTCGTATGCTTGTGTGTCTGTTAGTGCTTCTGAAATAATGTGATCAAACTTTCGGTCGAAGATGTTTAGTGTGAATGTATATGGTGTCTTGATGAAAAATTTCTCGGTAATTTGTGGATTAGCGAAGCGATCGTCGTCTAAGAATTGATCTTGGTTAGCTCTGATGATGTTGTGATCATAGTATTCGAGTGTATATTCGTTAGCTCTAGGTGCAGTGTGTGTTTTTAGTGATTTTTTATATCCAACGTAAGTAAATTGTCTAGGTGTTAGTGGTGTAGTGAGTCGATATAGCATGTCCGTATTTCGCTCTATATCGATGTGAGTGTTAGATAAAGGTAAGCAAAGAGGGTTCGTGAAATGATAATATGAGGTCCAAGAGAGAGTAGGCATTAAAACGTATTCATCTACGAAGTTGCGTGTTTTGTTAGTGTCGTGGGGGGTGTTTAAGGTGTATTGTGGGAATGAGGGTAAGGTGATGGCTAAAAATTCTTTTGTGTTAGTATGCTTGGGGTGGTTGATGTATTCACGGGCTGTTCCTGGTTTTGCTGGGAAAGGATGGTTGGGGAACTTTCTTTTAAAAGTGCGGTAAGCTCTATTAGTGTTGACTGAAGATTCAGTTGATGTGGATGATGGTGCTAATAATTCAGTATAAGTTGAAGAGGGTGTAGGGGTAGGGGGGTTGGATGAATTTATTGTGGAGGAGATTTGGTTTATGGTTGGGGTATTAAGGTGGTAGGGTTGTTGTTGAAGGGTAATAAAATTATCTAGCTCTGGGGAGATTCGGGGGGTGTCTGGAGAATGAGATGATTGGTCAGAATGGTATGAGGAATAGGTTGGGGTAACTTGGGAAGCATAAGAGGGTGTGGGAGTAATTGGGTCAGGGTTATTGGATAATATGGGTTGAAAAGGGGGTTGAGAAAAATTAGAAGAGTTATGAAAATTATTGGATGGGGATGGTTCTGAGTCGGCGAATTCATCGGGGGTTTCAATATTCGGGTTATTTAGCTGTGAGATGGAGTATAATACTGAGATGTGTGAATTAGTGTCGGAATTCATGCCTGATGTTACATTACTAGATGGAAAATCGGGTGGCGGAAAAGCAAAAAGTGGTATTATTGGGATTGGAGAGGTAAGATTGGTTGGGTGGGAATTTGATCGGTGTAGTGATCCAAGTTGGCGGCTCATCGTGGGCTAAAAAAATGATTATTTTGAGACTGAAAAGCGGTGGTATGGGGTTGTTCAATAATTTGTTCATAAGTATTATCATCTTGTGACTGGTGTGTCATTATATGTTGAATGGGACTTTGTGATGTGGTGAGTCGAAAATTTGGATTATGTGTGATGGCTAAGTTTCGAAAATTTCGTGGGACTAGGGATAGTGGATGGTTATTTGGTAGGGCTGGTAATTGTGGTGCCGTTGGCGTTATGTCTACATTGTTATGTTCTTCGTCGTATGTATTTTGTCGTGTTGTTATTTTTGTGTTATATTCTTTTATTTGTGCGTCTAAAAGAATTTTGTTTATAGATGTAGAAAAGATTCCAAAAAATCCTGCAAATAGTATGCGTGCTACACTTGCTTGTCTGTTTACTTGTGTGTGTATAGCACATGTGTTGTAGATTCCTTTTAAAAGTGAGAAAAGAAATCCAATAAAGTTAAACATTGCGTATAAAATAGTCAATTTTTCTAAGATGTAGTAGGGCCATCCTAGAAAATCAAGAATTTCATTCTTGAGTGTAACAAAGCTAAAAATATTGATAGGTGATATATCTTGGGGACGGTATTTTTCACCGTTTAGATATATGTAATCTTTAATGTCCTTAAAATATCCGCTATAGTCTTGCGTGTAGATATCGGCAAATCCTGCGGTTTCTGCAAGTTTGCGTAAATTTTGGTCTATTGATTGTCTTTGTATAGTGTCCATTTGTGTTAATAATTCTTGGAATTG